AAAATAATAATATTTGTATTGGACAATTTATATGATCATTACAAGAAGCCAGGAATTAGTAATAAACGTTTATGCCAAGTTTATTACAAATTCCTTCAGATGTATATTGCTTCTCGACAAGAATCGTTTACTAACGATTCTTGTAACCAACTTCAGGTAAAGATCAAATAGCTAGTTTTCATAATTCTAATCATTAACGATTAAATTCACAGACCTTCATTATGGATTGGGCTGGAGAATTTGTTGAAATATTTTCAAAATATTTCCAAAGTGGTCTTCAGTTTCCAAAACTTCACACTTGGTGCTATCACATAGTACCTGCAATTAAAGAATATGGGTCAATAAATAGTATGACCACAGAAACTTATGAGACACTTCATAAGTATTATGTAAAAAAGCCTTATCACATATCAAATAAGAAAGACTATATGATACAGATAATAAAAATGGTAAGTTCTAATTATAATAAATATCGCAAAAATAATCGCTAATAATTGATTAATTTTTAGATCAAATAGCGTATGTCAACAGAAAGCGAAGCTACCAAGAAATCCCGAAAAACAAAAGGTTTTGGAAAACTGTTGTGGGTAATTAATTTGAAAGATATGGATGATTTTCTTCAAAAAAATAAAAATCATTTGGACTCTTTGCAAATAGAAAGTTTTCAAAACCTTCTTACCAGCCTTGACGAATTTTTTGAAGAGGAATCATCCATGTCTATACATGATGACTCATGGGTAGAAACCTTTTCTTCTGCGGCTTTAGAAAATACAGATATTATTCGTGCCTCCTCGAGTTTTCATGGAAAACCGATATTTTCTAATGTCATTGTTAGTGCTAAAGATGATGAAAATTGGTACGGCTTGGTAAGGTTTATCACATTTTTATCTGATTTGCATTGGCATTGCTACTAATACAGTAATATCTTAAAAACTAAATCATGAGTAATAACGAATTAATAACGAATATAAATGAAGTTAGACAATATTTCATTAATTATCTACTTTGTAATTTACTAATATATAACTATTAATTAAAGACATTGGTATGAAGAAGTGGGCGAATTGTGGGAATGTTCTAAATTGAAGTTAGTTAAATATTACAGTTGTATCCCTATAGAAAGTATAGATAGAACTGTTCATATAATCCCAAGATTTGAAAAATCAAATGAATATTTAGTAAATAATTTTATATTTTAATAACTAAAGCATGTTGGTATACTTTAATAAATATTGAGTAAAAAGTGTTCATATCGCGTAATACATAATGTACATTTATTTAAATAAATGATGAAAATCAATATATTGCTATTAATCATTAAATATCGATTTAAATAGATACGATGATAATCGATTAATCGTTAAATATCGATTTAAGCAGATGTGATAATAATCGAACAATTGCTTATAAACATTATATATCGATATAAAGAGATGCGATGATAATTGATTTATAATAAATATTGATAAATTTTTATTTGCGATATTTATCATAAGTCGATATATATCGATATGTAACTAAATTATCAATATATAGCAATATATTTTAATCGATATGTATCATTTTTTTGCTATATATTGATAAATATCTATCTAAAAAATTTCTTGATGAAGTTACTAAGCAAACTTGAAGCTTTCATAGCATAGAAAACAATATCCTTGAATCTTTCTGAATCTCACGGTCTTAAGTTTCTACTTCAAATAGAAGATAATAAGAAATACATATAACGTTAAATGATTAGTTTTATAAAATTTCACCAGTTGGGTGGTAAAAAGTAGTAAGAAGTCGAAGTTAAAAGTTTGGTAAAAGAATCATGGAGTGAAGGTATTGTGCTTTTAATACTTGTTTTATGAAATATGCGAAAAATTTTAGTTATACTAGTTATTTATAAGCAATAAATACTAAAAACAATTAAATAAATACATATTTAGTTGCAAGCTTTGATCTTTATATAAATTATTTAATATATATAATATTCTTTTATACTAGGTATTTGATAAAATAGTTTTGTATAGCAATGCAGATTCAGATTGATACGTATACAAAAATTATATTAATTTTGGTTTGGAGAAATTTGTTTTTATAAGGTATACGTACTATTATGATCTTTACATGTTAATATTTTTTTATTAAACTATATATATATTGTATTATACATTATTTAATTCTAAATATTATATACTAATTTAGCTTAGATTTGTAAGTTAAATGGTGATTCAGTTTAAGTACTGTACATATATATATGTAAATAAATAAATATAGGTGGTATTTTATGATTAATATTGTAAACGAACAAAAAAAATATTAATTCGCTAAAGGTTCAGTAATACTGTAATTGAAATAGAATTATTATTTAAAATATAATATGCAATAATTAAAAAATAAAGCTTTATTACATAGCAATAAATCATTTATTCGAATATTAATAATATCAATTCGAATATTAATTATTTTGGTTGATTTGATTTGATTGGCTGATGGTCATGTTTTGATCGACGTAATTGCTGACTCAGGATAACCAATCATTTAACTGTTCTTGCTGTTGACCAATCGGTCAACCAAAGTCATGTGATTGTGGCGTAGTAAAGACGATCTCATTCAAACTCCTCTTCTATAGCATCAATTTCATCTCAACTTAATTTAGAAATTCTCAATGCTGAATAAGATCTTACTCATTCTATTTTATCCTCATATATGCTACTAAAAAGGTCATAAATTTTCCTTGCTCTTTTTATTCTTTTCTCAATTGCATTTTTCGAGAGGTTAGATGGGAGCTGTTTTTCAACTTCTTTATAAAGTTTTCTCTGAGATCTACACTTTTTATTATCTTTCATATACTCGGCTAACCTTTCCTTAAGCTTTTTTTCAAAAGCAAAATAGCATATAATAATTTTTTGATTCACACTTTCAATTCGTTCTTCAGCCTTAACAATTGCACTGTATAAATCAGAAAAATTACTTGGGCTTGTGATAGATTCAGCCTGAGAAGTAGTACTACTTGTTGAAAAACTTGGCGATTTCAGCTCTTCAATAAGTTTTTTTAATATAGATATATTTCCGTCTTTAGTCTTTACTTTCTTACTAGATAATTTATTTTCAGGGATATCTTTACTAGGTCTTTTACGGGATTCTTTTTCTAAAGAGATAATGCTTTGGTCAGTTGGACGATTACCTTCACCATCTTCATTATCATCTACATCCGGCATGTCTTCTCCTGGAATTTCTGTCATATCTTGAGATTAGATACTATGTTTTTCTATCCCCCTAACTACTGATGATGTACTTGACTCAGAACCCCTTCTAGCATTTGTTTCGATAATTTCGACCTCCTTACTACAACCAGAGAATAGATATGTATTTGGCATTGTAAGTAAATTTTTTTTTGATACAAATTCTATAAAAGACGTGCCCGCAAGATAGTGTTGTGAATGCTTTGAGAGGATGCGTAATAATTTCATCTTTGCATACTGAACAATGCTCTAATTCTGTAATTTTTATACTCTTAACAATGCCATCCTTGAAGGTTTTTAGAATATTATATGCAAGATTTTTGATGTTATTAATAGGAGTAGTTGATGTGAAAATAGAGGTAGACATATTCAAGAGTAAAATTTATATAATTAGATTCGTATGTGTTAATATAGAGTATAATCAGATAAGTATTTTACAATTTTCTAGAGTGCTTTGCACTTTGTGTAGCATATACTTAGCTTGTTTTTATATATTAAACACCTTCATGACTAAAAAATTTAATTTTTAGATTTCATTAAACTAATTTCGGATTTGGCGATCTGTTCATTCACAAATTAATTAGTATGAGAGGATTGCTAGATCTTTGATGACAATCGTGAAGAAAAGGGGGCATACACTTCATGGATTTTTATTTCACATTGACACTTTTCTACCTGTGTTAAAAATCTTCTGAATTACCTTGAATTTTCAAGTTTATTAGCATTTTGATAAAACTGATCTTGAGCATGTTTCATTAATGGTCCACCTGGTTGATAAAGCCATTTCTTCACTGCTTGCTAGATTATTATAGCTGAATTTATTCATTTTTTCTATAAACAATATACTCGCTAGATGATAATAGCCGATTAATTTTTTATATACAAAGTTTTAAAATATATTACTTGGATTAAAAATTCTCTAAATTCAGAGTGATTAGCTATAGATTCATTTCTGGTTAGATTATTTTTAATACAGAATACAAAGTTTTCCCAATAGTCCTTACTAATAATATCATATCCTAGTATTAATAAACGTCTATGTATATATTTGGGCAGATAATACTTCACAAATCGTAACCAAGCTTCTGACATTTTAAAATTATTGATATAGTTTAAACCATATTTGGTTAACATATATCAGGTATAATTATTTTTTGTCCATTCTTTACAAATATCTTGAATATTGGGCATGTTTATATTTCGATTTTATTAACTAAGACTCTTTATTTAATAAGTATGAGCCAGGATCGCTAAATCTTTGGTGGTAGTTGCGGACGATTTTTAGCTTATGGGTAAGTGTGGTTAGTGAGTTGGTTTGCATATATAACTTTACTTAAAAAATATCTAATAAGTCTAATTATTATAAAGCAGGTCCAAAGCAGTAAAGCTGGGTTATAGTGAATAAATAAATAAGTTATGAACTAATCTAAATACTCCTATATAAGTTATAGATATTTTCAATTTCAGAAGTATTCTCATTAATTGCCTTGGGTGTGGGAGCTAGAGCTTCAGGTTCAGGTTCTGGATTTGCGTCAAGGTCAGAATCGGAAGTATTACCCTCGGCATAATATATTCCAAAATTATGACAATCTATCTTATGCCTTATTGCAACTCTGCTAAGGAATTCGAGATGTTGCGAAGTTAGATTTTGACTACCATAAACTCTAGAAGCATGTTTACCTCCAATTTTTCTTAATCTTTTGGCTGTAATACCATATGATTTTAAAAATTTACTAAATACTCCTGTACTGCGTTTTCCATTAATACTATAAACAAGATTACGTAACTTTCCAGTTGCTATTGCATCTTGGATCCAGGTAAGCAATTCTTCTGCATATTCTGGATTCTTTTCTATAGATAGAAATTGCCAAGGTTCGGGATTATTTTTTGCTTCTCCTTTATTTTTAATATACCTGATACAATACCAAGAATAACCAGGCTTGTACCATTTAGGAGGATTTGATTTACTAGGTTCATAATAGATAATACGAAGAGTAGCAACTTCGGCGAGTCTCATATTCAACATCATAATTACATCTGCAAGATCTTGCATAGTAGGGATTTTAGTAGTATTGATATTTTGAATTCTTCTAAGTCCTTCCTCTAAGAAAAAGTGTTTGGGAGTTTTAGATAGATTGGGTAATCGCTGTTCAAGTTGTCTCTTTTGAATTTCGTTAGAAGCTTGAGTAACTTCTGGTAATTTGGCATATATATAAATTTGCTCAGAATTAATCCCAGCTTCTGTTAACTCTCTACAAATTGTGAAATATGAAAACTAGCTGCCACAATTGCTTCATCTGTATTATTTTTTGGCATAGCTAAGTCTAAAGCATATAACCAAATATCTCACACATCTTTAGTTTTTGCACAATATTGAGCTCTTTCCTTGATAGTAAGTCTTTTCTTTTTGTTGTTTAGAACCAGAGCTCCTATTTGATTTGCCAACACCACAACGTTCTTTAATAAGCATCAAGTGCCGGTTACTACTTGTAAGTTTAGCTTGTAAATTATAGCTATGCATTGTTTTAGCATTATATATTTCGATGTTCTTTCCAACAGCAGTAAAGTTATTTTGTAAATAAGACTGTGATCTATACTGAAGCCGAGCTCTTAATCTATCTAAATAAGGAATAACTTTTTTCTTATTATGATCTGCTTTAACAACCTCAATACCGGATTCCCCCTTTTTTTGCCTAAAACAATAAAGAAAATAATTTGATCCACGCTATCTACCATACATACCTTCTCTCGTGTGCTCTTTTTCACAGATTGAACATGTTGTAGGCCGAATTCTATCAAAAATATCGAAGCCATTATTAGAATTTCGATAAGACAGAAAAAGAAATTGTTTTTCTACTATTTTTATTGCAATATCACTCTCCTCACGTAAGACAGACTCATTTTTCAGCTTTTTATCTTCTTCCCATTCATATGGCCAGAGTTCTATAGAATCTTTCTCAATATGAGTGATAAGTGACTCTCTTCAAGTATGATTTGAACATATGCACTTAATGCATGAAGAGTCTTTGGCTTTATGACTTTCTGCTAATCAAAAGCAATAGAGATCCTTGTTTACTTTTTCATCAATGAAAGGATGCATTCTTTCTGGAAGAAGTTCTAAGATTCGTGATGTAAATTTTCGAGCTTTGGATACACTACGAATGAAATATCTAGATAATATCAAGTGTTTACTCTATTTCATTTCATTCAAGGAATCAGCTATAATAATGTCATTCTTTGAGAGATTCAATTCACTCATCTCTTTTATAGCAATTCGGAGAGCATTCTTGATATACAAACTAATCTCATCCTTTTTATGTATTATATCTGTAGATTTTTGCCATGTATAAAGATGTGTATTAGCAATATAACCATCAAATGATTTTTGTCCTAAAGCCTTTTCTATTCTATCTAAAGGATCGAGATATGATGCAAATTTTTCCAATTCACCATCCATATCAATTTTAATTTTTTGTGGCTGTCCTATTCGAATAACTTCATGAAATGTACGCTAGTTTTCAGGTATCGATTTATGCTATATTTCAAACTCGGATAAGTTATCGAAATATCTATAGCTATGAGGAAACTCTTGCCAAATAACCCATCCTTCAGGTTGAACATTTTTCAAGGCATAAAGGTATTCTTTTCTAGAGCAATCAGAGTGGTTAAGATATTTATATTTTCGCAAGACTCGTTGCTTATCTCTTGTTAGATTTGGCAAATCGTCCCCAGAATCGCTATTATATTCTGAGTTTTCATCTGATATATAATCATATTTTGAATGTGAATACCAAAACATTTTATTGATTTGTATATATACATTGTTTGTATATGCGTGTTGTTTGATCTGACAAAAAGTATATGTAGTAATCTTGAATTTGTTTATATAAATATTGTTACAAAAAGTTTAATTCAAAAAATAATTATTTCATATATGCAAATTTGAAAATTATTAATTATTGATATTAGCATGGGATTTTATTCTTGTCTATATACTTTTATTGATAGACATATTTGTGGAAAGAGTTGCTATCATCAAGAAGGATGCGCTCTTCATTGGAAAATTCGACCACGTACTCCATGTGGTGAATGTAGTATGCCAACTACCTCTTCATATAGCATATATGTGAAACATTCAGGAAAATATCGTAGAAGAGTCAATTATCAACAAAAAAAAACAGGATGAATTATGCGCAAAAATTGCTATATTTAAGAATCATATACCTGACTTACCTGATTCTATGCATGAAGTATAATCATATAGCTCAACATCTGGTAACCCTATAGGTATACATAACCTCTTTTTTCTGAATATAGAAGGAAAAAGTGTAATTAATTTTGAATTGAAAAAAATAAGTAGGTTAATCTATAATCACATTCTACTTATCAATATAGATTATTTACATATCTATCATGGCAACTGTCCGAAAAACTAGAAAACCCAAAACTAATAGCTTTACCTCTATTTTGAATCAGGTCCTCAATAAATATAACCTATCAGCCGAATCAAACCTGCTTTAATTACATGCTCATGCCAATAAGCTTAGTACTATACTACCAGATTAGAAGGCTTGTAAAGATGTGAAAGAGGCTCTCTGTTGGCGCTTATTCAAGAAAAATCAAATAGGAGCTCTGGTTCTAAACAACAAAAAGAAAAGACTTACTATCAAGGAAAGAGCTCAATATTGTGCAA